ATCTATCTATCTATCTATCTATCTATCTATCTATCTATCTATCTATCATGTGGCTCAGTTCTAAATCCTAATTCATCTTTCTTCCTTTCTAAAATGACATGATTTGGGCGTTTTACGATCTCATTATGTTGCTTTGTGTTTGGATTAGCCGTCGTCTTGATAAAAGCTTTCTCTCCTCACACAAACAGCAGTTATAAACTTAGAAACTTTCCACCGAATGCTTCCACAAGCCTTTATGTGTCCAGAGGTCCTGGCTCCAAATTACATTTAACCGTAGCAGGAAAATGATGTTTTCAGGGGGTTTGAAACTTCAGTTTTTCTCCGATCTCCAGGAAACTAACAGATAGAACCTCAGCTTCTCTGCTTCAAACCGATGGAGAAATCAACAGAACTGGGACTGGAAGAGGAGAAAAATGACTTGATTTCAGGCTGAGGAAGAGTTTTGAACCAGCATCCTTTGAGTCAAGTCTCAGCAAACAGACGAACTGGACAGAATATCAGCTTTGAATCCCAAAATAAGATGCTGAGGCTCTCCGGATCGGGCGGCGAGCCCCGTGGGAGCCGCGATAGGATCTACCCGTCTGTCAGAGGGGAAGCCATCAGTAAATATTTAATCAGCGATTCGGTTCGCCTTCAAATATTCATGAAATCTAATCAACTTAATCACGGTTTGATCGTCATTTCACAGCATAATGAAACTCCCCGCATGTTCAGCCAAGCGCGGCGCACAGCTTTCCGCCTCCGAAACACGTGCGCGCGCCTAAACTGAGGAGGGAAATAAAGAAGGAATGTACCGAAATATTCAAGATTTTGCTCTACGCAAACGTATAAAGTTGGAATAATTAAACCACTAAGAAAATACTGTCTCTTATCAAAACTGCTTTCTAATCTTAAGGAATTTATGACAAATATCGCAGTTGAACGACAGCAAAGATGAAGCGATCGGCCGATGAAGCGACCTTAAGAAAAACCTGTTTTGAAGCCGGAAGTCCAACTTTAAAGGAACAATGGAAAGGAGTCATATGAAAGCAAAAGCAGCCGGACCAAAGAAAACAGAAACGAACAGAACCTCAAAGCAACAAGTTAGAAAAAAATGCACTTTACAGGAGCCTCTTTACAGGAGCCTCTTTACAGGAACCTCGAGAGAGGAGCCTCTTTATCGGGAACCTCCTTAGAGAGGAGTCTCTTTACAGGAAACTCTTTACAGAGGAGCCTCTTTACAGAGGAACCTCTTTACAGGAACCTCTTTATAGGAACCTCTTTACAGAGGAGCCTCTTTACAGAGGAACCTCTTTACAGGAACCTCTTTACAGGACCCTCTTTATCGGGAATCTCTTTAGAGAGGAGCCTCTTTAGAGGAGCCTCTTTCCAGAGGAGCATCTTTACAGGAACCTCTTTCCAGAGGAACCTCTAGAGAGGAGCCTCTTCACAGGAACTTCATTAGAGAGGAGCTCTTTCCAGAGGAACCTCTTTACAGAGGAGCCTCTTTACAGGAACCTCTTTACAGGAGCCTCTTTCCAGAGGAGTCTCTTTACAGAGAAACCTCTTTACAGGAACCTATTTACAGGAGCCTCTACAGAGGGACCTCTTTACAGAGGAGTCTCTTTCCAGGAACCTCTTTACAGGAACCTCTTTAGAGAGGAGCCTCTAGAGAGGAGCCTTGAGGCGGCTGGAATAGACGGTGTGATGTTTGGCCCGGAGGGGCTCGGGGGGAACCGCTGTGTCCCATTTGGTGGGACGTTGGGCTCATTTTGGAGAGCACTTCATTCTCCCTGCCCTGTGGGATCTTAGCCACAGGCCGGAGAGCAGTGCCGTCTGTTTTTCATCAGCCGGTAACGCGCTGCTGGGGTATCGCGTCTCCTTTATCTCACCTTATCAGCGCCGGTGTCTGCAAACCGCAGGAGGAGACGCCGAGCATGATATTGTTTTTGCCACATTACATCGAATGGCTGCAGGTGCTTTTCTGTCACAGGCGTGTGGACGCTTCATAAAGCCATTACCCCCCCCCCCACCCACCCCATCGAGCTGTACATGTCAGCACTTTCGGCCTGTTTTTATCATATCTGTTACTTCCTTTGAGTCCTGAAACTGCAGAAAAGTTGATAGGTAGGAAGCAAACGTAACAATAACTCATAAGAGTTATTTGAAAATAAATGAGGATATTAACATGTGGGAAGCGCATCCGGGCGGCGCGGTGGTGTGGTGGTTAGCACTGTCGCCTCCCAGCAAGAAGGTTCTGGGTTCGAATCCCTGGGGAACCAGGGCCTCTCTGGGTGGAGTTTGCATGTTCTCCCTGTGTCTGCGTGGGTTCTCTCCGGGTTCTCCGGCTTCCTCCCACAGTCCAAAAAACCTGCATGTTAGGTTGATTGGAAATTGGGGAAATTGCCCTTAGGAGTGAATGTGAGTGTGAGTGGTTGTTGGTCCTTGTGTGTCTCTGTGTGTCTCTGTGATGGACTGGCGGACTGTCCAGGGTGACCCCGCCTCTCGCCCGTTGACCACTGGGATAGGCTCCAGTTCCCCCCGTGACCCCATCAGGGAATAAGCGGTATTGATGATGGATGGATGGATGGATGGAAGCGCATCCGACTCCATGCCCCCTTCCACTGATTACCTCTGGCTGCCCGTATCAAATTCAAATCCCTGATGCTAGCCTACAAAGTGCTTAAGGGTCCGGCTCCCATCTACTTGAATCCTCTTCCAAAGGCTTATGTCACAACTGGATCCCTCCGGTCATCAGTGGACTGTGGTCTAGCAGAGCCTTCACCACGCTAACCCTAACCCTAACCCTAACCCTAACCATCCAGACTGTCTGCATGTGTCGTTCCAAGATGGTGGAACCACCTACCGAGCTAAAAGAACAGCAGAGTCCCTGTCTGTCTTCAAGAAACTCTTGAAGACCCCCCTCTTC